CCTCAGGCTCAGCTATGCAGAGATGCCTGCTAATTTCCCTCTGACTCTTTCCACCACCCAGCTCCACACCTGATATGGTTGCAAAAGGAAGCTTCATCAAAGATAGACTGAGAGATGAGCCTTCATGGAAGGCAAAATGGATACACAGAGAGGGATGTGCAAAGTGCTTGATGCAGGAAGATTATTGCAAAAAGCATTGCCAAAGCAAAGACGTCTACAGTTTACTCCCAGAGTTTATAGAGATGGACACAAGAGGGGCTCTCACGGGTTGAAGAAGCCCCTACCACCACTACCAACTCCACCATGGCCTCTTTCTTTCCAACCATGTCTTCCATTCACATTGGCCATGAATCTGAACATGGCTTTCATTAGGTAGACAGCTCTGGGGGACACAGTGGCTGATCCAAAGTCAGAGGTGGGCTTTGAGATCACAAAGTCAGTCCGCTCCCACCCTTAAGCAAGAAGCTCCCTGTCACACCTGCACATGTGCCTGCTAGAGGCCCCCAGTGAGTGCCAGTGTGCTTTATCGCAGGGAGCCCCCTAAATATGATGCAGCATTTTGAAATGGCCAGCTGTTTTTGAAAATGTCTGAGCACTGGGACCTGCCTCCACCTGAACCACTGTGGGCAGCTTTTAAAAATAGTTTTTCCCCAATTCTCCTATGGTAATTCTGATCCCTAGGTATAGAATGGGTCTTTAACCATGATTCCTGGACCCTATGCCAGACAATCTAAATCAAAATTACCTAGGGAAGGCTGTGGGAACTGGTTCTTAAAAAAAAAAAAAAAAAAACAACTTCCCAAATAGTTGTTTAAAAAATCCTTCTCAAATGGTTCTGTAGCAAGGCTGGTTGGGAACTGCTGAATTGGAGTATTCTAATTTCCAGCCCAAATCTCCATCTGGTCCCTCTGCCTATCTCCCCCTGCTCTGTCCCCTGCAGCCACCAAAGCTTTCAGGGCTTCCTCCTTGAGACACCTGCTCAGTGTTTAAAAAATAAAAGCTATCATCTTCCCCTAAGTCTTTTCTTTTTAAGACTAAAAAGAACATCACAGCAAGAAAAAGAGTGATTTGCCTGCTAGGAGCCTCCAGAAATTAGTCTCAAAATAGTATTTGCTTCAGGGACTTTTTTTTATTATTATTCAGAAACAAAGTGTTGAAAGTGTAGGGAAAATTCACACTGATTTGTTTCACCTATGTATCAATGTATTCAAAATGCTGAGGAATTTCTTTTCTTGGAGTCAGTTTTGTTATGGTAAATGACCACGTGGAAAATCAAAGGGAAGAATGATTCGGGCAGATCCTTAAATTGCCCCCACATGAGGCCATCATAGGAAGAGGTCTGGCTCCTGGCTCCTCTCAGCAGAGAAGGGACTCCATCCTTTGGAGGCAGCCTCCATGTGGCAAGAAGAGATGTCCAGTTTCATCGGGGTTGGACTCTGGTCTGTGAAAGGAACATCTGTAGATTCATGTCCTGGGAACCGAACTGGAGTGGAAAGCGCAGAACAGCCAGAGGCTGCAACACACAAATCTCATGCCCCCATCAGAGCCCTGGCTTGTGAGAATTAGCTGGTTCTGGGAAGGGGGAACTTAAAGGGCATAGTGGTCAGATGCAGTAGTACAACATTAAGCACAGATGCTAACACCTTAGACTGAATTTATCTTTTCACTGGTCACACATTGGTCCAGACAGCCCCAACTGGTGGGTGGGTTTCTCCAGTGGGCATCATTTTTGCATGCTGACCATGTTTCTTCATGAAAAGTTTGATGTTTAGCAGGGGCTTAATACCAAATGTTGGAGAAATAAAGAAGGGCGCTGAAATGAATGCCCAAATGTAACAAATGTTGATCTATCCTTGGCAGAGACATTGGTCCAAAACTGCTGGGCCTCACAGTGGTGTTACTGCCTGAGATGAGGAGAAGGGATAGTTTCAGGAGTCCTGCCATGGAGGTAAATATCTTTCACCTAATATTTTCACAGCCCTAAAAAGTCTTTCTCATGCTTTAATCCAGCTTCAGTGTCCAAAAAAGAGAAAAAGAAAACCAACTCGGTAAGCAATGTACCTACTATTATCCCATTTTACAGAGTAAAAAGTTGAGGTTCAAAATCTACATCACTACCAAAGGTGGAAGAGTAGAAAGTAGCAGAACTGGGACTCAAACTCTGTCTACTTCTAAGTTCAAGATCTTTCCAAAATATGACTTTCTTCATTGGAGGCTAAAGGAACTATATACAGGACCTAGTAGAACCCAGGAGCCTCTGCCCTCAGCACTCAATTCTAAAATTGCCCACTCTAAAAATACTTCCTGTTTTGGGCATGGCTTTGTTAACTAAGAACTACCTTGAATCAGAAGGGTAGAGTCTAGGTGGGGCTTCCCTGGTGGCCCAGATGATAAAGAATCCGCCTGCAATGCAAGAGGCTTGAGTTCGATCCCTGGGTTGGGAGGAGCTCCTGGAGGAGGGCATGGCAACCCATTCCAGTATTCTTCCCTGGAGAATCTCCATGGACAGAGGATCCTGGCGGGCTGCAATCTATGGGGTTGTAAAGAGTCAGACACAACTGAGTGACTAAGCACAGAGCCTAGATGAACGGCAAAGTCCTAAAGAGAAAGAAGCCGGTGCCTCCTCTTGCCATCAGCCAAACTCCTCCAACACCCAGCAAGAGAACTTACACATTAGGAGTGCCACCCTCTCCTCTGCTGTACTACATAAGGAGGATGTGGGAGAGGAGACTAAGGTCCTTCAACTCCAGGAATATTTAACAATCAAGACTGGACAGGCTGGAAGCAGTGCTGGCTCCAGGAAACAAAAAGAGAGGGTTGCTAGTGAAAGTTATCAAGGAAGGGGCTCAGCCCACCCAACTCGGGAGGAAAATGGAGATGGGCACATATTACAGCTTCTTTGAGCTGTGTACCCGCCCCCTGGCTGTTAATTTTTACCTGATTCCTGCAATGACTAAGTGAAAATCTCAGGGGTAAAATCAAGAGTAGGGGAGGAGGGAGGAGGGAAGATGCTGTGGCTGGGGACCTGGAAGGGGGGACATGCGGAGGGTTAGAGAACAGATGGGGGCAGCAGAAGAGATAGAGAATCACAGACCCTTTAGTAACCAACATGGTGATCTTGCACACATTATAGAAGAAATAGACCTTGCTTTCTCAAGACACTTTATGGCCATCTGCTGGAAAACTGGTCATAATGGTGCTATAAACTCAGGATGACTAGGAAGGCGAATGGTGTTCTCCAGGGTTATACACGGGCATGTGCATAACCAAGAAACCAGGGTACCTCTGTACCCTGCAGGGGTAAGGCACTGCTGTCTTAATAATTAAGGTGACAGCACCCAGACCTGGGAAAGCTCCCCCTCCCCCTCTGTGGTTTCCTCCAGTCCTCACTCAGATAAGGACACATGAAACACAGCAAAGAAGGGGATCCTGAGTCCTTCTCTCTTGCTGCTTTCCTTGGTTCTTGCCAACCTCTTCCTCTCTCTGGCCTGGCCTGCTGGATCAGACCCTTGCCTCTAGGTTCACACTCAGCTTCCACCACGAAGGGAGAGCACAGAGATGCTCTGAGGACCAGACACTTCATTGATATGAGATTCCCCGGGGCACACACCATGCATTCACTCTTTCCTGGGGGCATATTCTTCTATTCTAGAGGAATGGAAGAGACAGAGTCTCTGGGGTACACAGGGGTAAGGAAAGTACAGAAAAGAGAGACCAGAGATGCATAAGAACTTAGAAATCACAGCACCAACCTGTAGCAGAACTGGGGATGTGTGGGGGGGTGGGATCTGAGCTTCATCCAGCCCAGCCAGGGAAGTCAGGATTAACTCAAGCCTCTTTAGCTCAACTGGAGCTGCATTTCCAGGCTTCAGAGTACATCGGGCAGCTCAGCTGTTCCAAGAGAGACAGAAGCTTCGCTCAAAAGTTCATGGGAGCCATGGACAGGACCTGGCCAATTAAGCCTCCCCCGACCAGCCCTCAGGCACCTGCCCACAGACACATGTGCCATCCTCCAAATGCTCATAAAACACAAACAGACTGAAACCTAACTACCTGGATGCAAACAGCATGCAGGCAGGTCCACACAACACATATTCACATGGGTGAGTTAAAATAACACTAGTTCCCATTTACTGAGCTTCTTCAATGTGTCAGCCTCCGTACTGGGTAATTTATATTCATTATCTCATTATCCTCTCCACAATGCCACTTGTTAACCTCACTCCACAGAACAGAAAATGAGGCTCAGAGACACTAAGTAACTTGCCAAAAATCCCACAAATGATGCCATAAATAAACAGGTACACACATATTATAAACTATAGCATGTGAATGTTAGACTAATAATATTATGTAATGTTAGTAGAGATACCGATAATAAAGATGGGTAATATTAATGATACTGTTGTTGTTCAGTCGCTCAGTTATGTCCGACTCTTTGCGACCCCATGCACTGGAGCTCGCCAGGCCCCTCTGTCCCTCACCAGCTCCTGAAGTTTGTCTAAGTTCATGTCCATTGTTTTGGTGATGCCATCCAGCCATCTCATCCTCTGATGCCCTCTTCCCCTGTCCTCAATCTTTCCCAGCATCAGGCACTTTTCCAATTGTAATACTGTATAAAAGGACAATATTAATGGTGATGGTAATAATAATAGCTAACCGTGTCAGGTGCTGTTCTAAACCACTCATCGGCCCAAGCCCTTTCCACAAACTAGCTCACTTCATCTTCTCAGTAACGCTCTCAATTAGGTTCCATTTTATAGATGAGAAAAGGACAGTGCAGAGAAGCTAAGTAGATTTCCTGAGGCCCCCTGGCTGGTGAGCAGGAGAATCTGGATGTGAAGGCAGTCGCAGGCCTTTGTGCAGGTGAGGAGGGTAGGCTGGGGCCAGGTCCAGCCTGGCCCTGGATTTGGCCCTGAGGCTGACCCCTTCATCCTCCCAGGCAGGCACCCTTGGAAGGAACCAGTCCCATCAACCCCCTGTCGTCGGCCCCTGCTCACCTCTGCTGAATTGGCAGCTCTGGTCGGCCAGCTTCAGGGCAGAGCTCTGGGTCTCCTGGGAAAAGAGTGGTGAAGGTGGGTATTGAGGCCAGCCTGGAGGCTCAGCATCCCCTAGGGAGGGAATCAGGCTGCTTGTTCAACAGCTGGGAGCGCAGGCACCCTTGAGCACCAGGGCACGAGGCCATTTTCCAGGCGGCTACATCCAGGGCGGAGGGAAAACCAGGCTACTGACCCTGCGCGGCTCCCGGGGGCCGGCTCTCCCTCTCGCCCACCCTGGCTCGCACCTGGCCTCCCAAGCTGACTGTTCTCACATGCTCCCCTTTCCACCAGAGTCGGCCCCTCTTCTAGCCCCTCTCTTTCAGCAGACCAATCCATTCTGTAAGAGAAGAGTGAGGAAGAGATCAGGCTACAGAGACTGAATGCACGGCCCCGATAAGAGAGCGAAGAGCCTCCATCTGTGGCACAAGGGGCCAAGGAGGGGATAATAGCCCAGACCCTGTGTTCTGTTCGGCCGCACAATGGGCAGCTTTCAGCAAGCGCCCTCCTGGTCTCTAATCTAGCAGGAAGGGCATGTGTGCAGTCTATTAGCATTTATTTTCCCTTTCTGCATTATACTGATAACCCAGTTTCTGACCCAACCTCTCGCTTTCTTTTCATTCCACATTATAATTCTGCTTTCTTAAAATCCTATTCAGCTATATTAAAAAAAAAAAAGAAAAAGAAAAACCCTCTAACTCTCTCTACTTTTCTACCATTTGAAAGCACATCAGTATTTTTTTTTTTTTCCTCTGCTGAACCAAGGTGACTCCTACAAAGGATTTACCATTCTGGATGGTAATGATGGTTCAAGAGCTAACGGACAGGTAGCATTCTTGAGGCTGTATTTATGAGTTCACTAATAGACATCAACATAAAGGATGAACCTCAGAGGTAAAAGACACAGCTGTCACAGAAATCGGACACCCAGGACAGGTAAAGGGTCCCTACTCTGCTGTGCCATCCAAAGAGCTGGCAGTGAGACCGATGCAAATAGACTCAGGCCATGCTATCCTGCGATCGCCCTGTGGACAACACTGTTATTCACCCGGCTCTTTGTTTTAAGCAAAATTCTCCCAAAGTAAAATTTAATCAATGGCTAGTGATTCTGAAAGCAGACATTTCGTGAAACTGTCTTGAGCTTGTCTTCTGAGAAAACTAGCAAATTGCCTGTGATCATGGAAAGTGGCATCTTTTGTAGCCAGTGCCTTTTGTTCATTACTGGGGCCTCCCTCTGAGACAGGAGTTAAACTTATTGATCACTGGAATGTCCTAAAACAACAATAGGATAAGTGGGAAGACTGCTGGGATGTGATCACCGTGAGGAATGCAGAGGTCTGAGCCGGAGGTTTATGCCACACATGTGCTAGTGTGGTGCCTGTCTATTGATATTTCTGTGACTTAAAAATAACCCACCAACATAACAAAATGATTAGGCATTTCTAACCCAGGGGAAATCTCCTGGACTCCACGCTGATGCTGCCTGGTTGTGTAAATATTAAGAGAAATTCTGATTCACAACTTCATCTAAGGGAGTAATTTCTCACAGAAGCCTGACCTCCTGCCACCCTTGAAAAATATAAAACTCTCCAGAAAATTGGCCACATATACGAGGGAACAAGAACATGGGATGAGTGACACCCTGATTCTCACCCAGGCGGGCTCTTTCTTTTCCTGGAAGGACAACAGCTTCCTCAGCACAAGTGTGAGGAAGATGAAGGACTGGACTCCAAAGAATCTTCTGACTAACAGGAGTGCTGTGTTGTTCAAGATGAAGTGAAAGAGAACACATTCCCATCGTGGGTGACAAGAAGGGCACGACACTCAGATTAGGTCTTCTTCCAGTCAACAGTCTTTAGGCGGATGACCCTACAGTTCAAATTCCAGCAAGACTTGAATTCTGAGTCATTTTCAAAGGAGTGGAGGCTCTGATTGACACGAGCACTCACCCTGTCTTCACCATGTTTTTACAAAAATGTCTGGGAAATAGCCAGAGAACAAGGAAGATGCTGGGTTGTGGAATAACATGACCAGGTCAAAATGGGGACCAGGCACTGGCCCTCAAATCTCCTTGTGTCCATTAAGGGCTGGAGGCCAGTCCCAGGCTGATGATAAGTGAAGGGTGCTAGGGAAGTGTCCTCACCACATGCCTGCTCAGAAGGATAGTTTGTAGAAATCCAGAGTGGACAAGGTCTCAAACTCAGAGGCCTCAGGCAGGTGGTGCAAATGAGGGAAATGGGCTGAGAAAGAAACTTCTGCGGCCATGGAGAGCATGCATCCTCTTTCAAGGGCAGTCACTTCTCAGTCCCAGTCTTACCAGTGTCTTGATGAACAGGAATGCAAGTCCAACCTTGACAGACAACCCAGACTTTCAAGACACACAGAAAATTGATTTCATTTTATGTTGTCAACTAATTCAAAAATTTTATAATATTATGCTGGCCAGATCTGGACCTCAGGCCATCAGTGGGCAACCTTATTCTAAAGAACATTGAATCCATCATTTTTATCATTACCAGGCATCTCCCCAGTATGTGTTTTTACCAAGAACTTGTTTCTCCAGTGAAATTCGATAAATAATCCTGCCTCTCTGGAGTTTGGCACCCTCTCAGTGTGGAAGATATTTAATTTCTGACTGAAATTTCAGATGTTTTCTTTCAGGGTTCATTCGGGTATCCAGAGTGTACTAAGCACAAAGGATATAAAAGTGATAGTCAAGATATTTGGTCTCCTGCAGCTCACATGCTAGTTGGGAAGGTGGAAGAGAGGTAACATACATGTATATACACACATGCACACATAAATGCAAATACGCACATGTGCATGCACACACACACATGTATATACACATATACATTCACATTATAGATATGTGTTATAGATAAAGGCAATAGCATTTGCGATGATTTGAATTTAGAGAATTTTAAAAAGAGAACATCAAAGATGGTGCTTAGATTTGTGGCTTTAAAAGAGGTGGATGAGGAGGATTGAGGCATGAGATTTACAGAAAAATCAAGAGTTCTGTAACTGAAGCTGTCAAATCTGAATCCCGTATTAGACACCCAGGGGCAATATCCTGTATGACTCTGCAGAATAGAGCTGTGAAAAAAGAAACTTGCTTGATGGTTTTCTCAAGAACTCCCAAAAAGTCGATGGAAGGAGACTGAAATCTACAAAGCTGCTTTGTATGATAATAACACTGACCACCACCACATCTGGTAACATGGACCTAGGAGTCAGGGTCCACACTCGATATCACAAGGATCTTCATTAAATTGCACAAACAGTTCCAGAACAACTATTTTCTTACAATTTTACAATAAAGTTATGACAAATGTGCCACTTCAAGCTCTGATAGATCTGTTTAGATATCTTACTAAAGAAAGTGTTTCTATCCTTCACTAGAAATACGCCTTGGAGTTAACTTTCCCTGCTTCATCATCACAGGCCAAACCCAAGTCACAAAGAGTGACCTTGATACTTCATGGAGCAGGAAAGTGTAAAGAGGGGCCTCTCCAGCCTGCCTGCCCCTAGATACACATGCTCCCGAGTGCATCAGGTTGTATGATTGCCTGTGAGCATGGAGAACCATCTTCATTAATTAAACTTATTATTACCATGCTTGGAAAACATGGCTCATTAGCTCAGGCACTGTAACCATGCCTACAGTGTTTCCACCTACTGGAGCCCAGGGATTTACAGTAACTGCAGTATTCTGTGCAGTAGCTGTGATTTTTGACAAAGTGCACACTCACCACCTCCTCCGGATTGACGGAACCCTTTTGCCCTCCAAGGTTCCTCGTCAGTCTCTAGTGATTTCTCAGCATTCCTTACAAGGGATGCTCTGGGATGTCAAGGTACCAGGTGGAGGAGGAGAGCCCTAGACCCAAAGCAAAGGCAGATTGAGCCTTGGGAAGAAATTAGACCCTGGACAGAGCAGAAGGTGTTTGTGTGTCTGGTAGGTGAATACTAGGGATCATTCAGAGCAGTCCTCCCTGATCACAGGAAAAATGAAAGCAGAGGAGGAAGTGAATGGCCTGTCTACCTTGGGAGACTCCTCCTCTGCCCCCAGGCAGCGGGCCTAGATCTGGCAGAGGGCGGGGCAGGGGTGGGTGGGGGGAGGCTCTGATCACTATTGTGCTGCAGAAGGTTGGAACCACTGCTCAAAGTCACAGAGAAAATATTTACTTTATTAAACCCCCCTAATCGAAATCAGCCCATTCAGATTAATATTGCTTCCCGATATTGCTTTCCAAATGTTAGGGGCAGTGACCTGGAAAAGTGAAAAGCTTTATTTAAGAGCGTCGATGTCTGCATCTAAATGGATGGGTCTTCGGATGTCAGAAGAACAAAACAGCCATTGGTTGGAGACTAATAATCTTTGGCTGTCCAGATATGAAACTTGCTGTTGCCCCCAGTGAAGACTTGCAGAGAGCAGAGCTATAAAACATGGATGTTTGCTTTCGAAAGCAGAAAGTCACAAGGGAGTGTCGCTTCCATGTTACCCTTAGAAGAAGCCAGATAAGCTGTAAAATTATAGCTTTTAAACTCATCAGAGAGCTGAGGATATCAATAAGCCTAAATGAATTAAATTCCAGAAAGCAATGAGCCCTTCCTTGGAGAGTAGAGACTCGGAGCTGCTGGCATCCTTGGTGGAGAGGTGGGAAAGGAGGAATTCAATAGAGACAAAGGCACAGAGAAACCAGCCAAACAGTTCATAAATCTCCCACAGTCTGTGTGAGCTGGTGAGATAGAAAGCCCATGGTAATCCTTCCAGAGAACAACTCAGCACCCCTGCCCCTATCTTTCCCATAGCCCTTTACTATGGGCATGGTATATTAAAGGCTGGGGGCAGGGCAGAGGCCTGATGGAGAACCTCCCTCCCATAGCATATGAGACCTTCCCAAAGTGCAAGACAGGGACCCACTGCAAGAGAGCTGAGAAAGTCTCCCTGAGACCCCATGGGCTCATAATCGGTGCCCAGGTGCAGCCCCTGAAGTCTGGGACTTGGGCGGGCAG